GTGTCTTTTTGAAAGAGCATATCAATACTCGATAAATCTTTTTTTTACACAATGATTCATAAACAACTTCTATTCTAATCTTTTTTTAAACTCTGAAACGTGCAACGTAGATCGTGTTCGGTAGGCAGAGCATGTATACTGTTTTGTTGGTCATCTACCACCTTTGACTCAGCGGATCATCTATAACGCTCATTAATTATTTGGACCTTGAAGGTAGCGTTGTAGCGAGTGATCACTGTATTGTTCAAATATAACCATATGGAATAGAGATCACTGACATCTCATTTGCTCATCCTTCATTTTGATTGGGTCACATGACATGTTCTTCTACAGGCAGTTGTCATATCTTGACGGAGAGTCAGGTATCAAGTCGAAAAAATCAAATCATATCAAAGTGTCAAATCTGATTTTAATGAAATTGCCAGTAACATATGTGTGGCTGGATGTATGTATACATGTTTGTCATGCTTGAAATATGAAAGACTATACATTCACATGCATTTGTATTAAAACTTAACATCATATCTACTGCCTCAGTGGTCTAGTGGTTACATAGAGTGTCAGCCTGGAAAATTGAAGGTCTAAGGGTTCGATCCCTGGCTATGTCTTATAAAAAGACATAAAAATGGTACCTCCTGGCACCATATAAATAAGGGGCTAAAACAAGGACGGGTCAGCTCTGAGTCAGTATACTGTGCCTAAGTGGGTATTCAGTGTTGCATGGTATCTCAGTGAGTGAGTCAGTCAGTCAGTCAGTTAGTTGGGTTTAATGCCGCTTTTAACAGTATTCCAGTTATATCCGGTGTCATGGTATCTCAGTGGGCTAGCACTATAATACCAGCATCAGCACACACACACACACGCTTCACCTCACAACTAACATCACAGCAGTGCCATTTTGAAACTGATATTTACAGTTGTTTGCTTCATCTATCTGTAATGATCGATCTGTTTTGGAAGCATATTATGTACAACTAAAGGTTAAGGATATATTTGGATGCTTTATCTATCTCTCTCTTTCTATACTAGGTTTAAGTCTTATGATTCAACAATACCAATTTTAGGAGTCACAGACATCATTTATAATATCATCAGTTCTGTTGGTATCATAATCAGTTATTTTTGTATAATATATTCACTGTTGTCCTACAATAGAGGTGACCTACAAATAATGTTACCAAGAGAAATGTCTGTCTGTTCTGAATAAGACTTTTGTAGATTAAATCAAAATTTAAGAAGATGTTTTTTGCCTCTTTTCAAATGATAAAGCAATATCACTATGGGGTACATCGAAATGGGAGATCTACATCATTCCCATATGGGGATGGAAAACAAGGTGTTCAGCATGACGAGGCAATGCTTTCGTCATGTCACAAACTTGTTATTATACACTGAGTAGGTGGTGATTGTCACTCCAATAGTTGTATTATGGCAGATATATGTCGTTAAATCTGGACAAGACAAATCAGTGGTTGATAGCATGAGCAGCATTTACACACAATCAGCAATATTCCAGCTATATGACGGCGGTCTGTAAATAATCAATTCTGGACCAGACAATCCAGTGATTAATATCATGAGCATCGATCCACGCACTTGGGATCAATCAGACATGCATCAACCAAGTCAGCGAGCCTGACCGTGACCACCCAATCCTATTTTAGTCGCCGTTTACGACAAGCATAGTCACCTTTTACGGCAAGCATGGGTTACTGAAGACCTATTCGGAATCTTCATGGGTCACACACAATCAGGAGACACATTGTAACATTCTGATATTTGTTTTAGTCAGTTAAATTTAACCAACAAACATGGGTGCTGGGTATGTTTCCAGCCCCTATGTGCCAAACGGGAATGAGTTTTCAGAATACTCTTTGTGATGTGGCACTGTAACCAAGATTTAGCAACAACAGAAAGTACAGGTGGACCAGTCATCGAGACTGGCCCTGCACTGACTGTATGTGACAAATTATAGGTGAACCCTGATTATGATAGCTCTCTTGGGAGTTGTGATGATGGTCAATTTAGACTGCCGTCAGTAATAATCAAGCTGTATCATGGCAAACCAGTGGTTGATAGCATGAACAGCAATCCACACCATCTGACCATGATGACACACAATCAGCCAGGTGACACATGGAAGATCTTAGATAATCAGTTCTTGGTCAGGCAAACCAGTGGTTGATTGCATGAACAACAATCCACACCATCTGACCATGATGACACACAATCAGCCAGGTCACACATGGAGGATCGTAGATAATCAGTTCTTGGTCAGGCAAACCAGTGGTTGATTGCATGAACAACAATCCACATCATCTGACCATGATGACACACAATCAGCCAGGTCACACATGGAGGATCGTAGATAATCAGTTCTTGGTCAGGCAAACCAGTGGTTGATTGCATGAACAACAATCCACACCATCTGACCATGATGACACACAATCAGCCAGGTCACACATGGAGGATCGTAGATAATCAGTTCTTGGTCAGGCAAACCAGTGGTTGATTGCATGAACAACAATCCACATCATCTGACCATGATGACACACAATCAACCAGCTCACACATTGTAACTTCTTGATAATCATTAGTTGGCTCTTTAAATCATAAGCACCTGGTACAAAAATTGTGACCTTTCCTATCTTGGAATCTCCACAGGCACCTGTGTAATTGTCTGTGACTTGTGTTACTTTGACATAGTAATGCCTCCAACATGACAAAACAACTGACTGCTGTGATATGATAAAAACACTTTCAAGAGCAGCAGCATGTGCCCGAAGTCACTCCGTCACTCACTTTGTTAAATAATGAATGCATTCCATTTCAAATCCCAATCCTCAGATACCAATTGATTTAGCTTTGTTATACAGTTTTGTAAATAATGTATAATCAACACATCTTAACATATCTCAACAACTTGGGATAAAAAGGATCTGAAAACACTGACTGTTAAGGAGTTGGCAGCTGGTACATAGTTGCATCTCCATGCTGAGATGCAGCAATCCATGTACAGAGTGATATGTTCGGTGTCCTTGTTATCTTACACCCCTGGTTGCTGTGTTATGTCAGTGTTTCCATATCATATTTAACGTCTGCAGGCTTGATAATCTCATTAATAACACCTGACAACTCTTCCTTCTTACGATCTATAGGTCCTTCATTTTTTGTCATCTCTATGATTTACCGTATGTAATGTATATATACCAGTCTGCATATTTAACATCCCCAGAGCATTTCCATAGCATGTTATTTTCCAATTTGTTCTTGCCTTGGAAACTCTGGTGAGACGTAGCAGACAAAATATTAGTTTCTTTTATCCATGTGAGAGTTGCAAGACCGCCCATTACTCATGCACATGCTGGTTGTGCGGCTGGCCAAGTTATCTTAGTAGGTGAGGTGAAATTGGGTTTAAGGTCAAGATTAGTGTACTTATATAGCGACTTGCATACACGTGTGTGTGTGTGTGTGTGTGTGTGTGTGTGTGTGTGTGTGTGTGTGTGTGTGTGTGTGTGTGTGTGTGTGTGTGTGTGTGTGTGTGTGTGTGTCTGTGTCTTGTACTAGTCTGGACTGATGCCGATTTATAGTGCTAGCCCACTAAGATACCATGACGCAGTTTGACATGAATACCCCACTCAGACACAGTATACTGACTATGAGCCCCTTAATGCTAAGCGCACACAGGGAAACAACAAGTACCATCTTTTAACATCTTTTGGTGTGACACGGCCTGGGATCAACCCCAGACTGTACGCTCTCTGGGCGGATGCTCTATGACTAGACCACGGAGGCGGTCTGATCTTAGTACCACAGCTGGCTGTGCAGAGTTGCATCCATCAGTCCTTCATAAATAATGTTTTGTATACGTTCCTCCATCTCCCATGAATACATATGGTCAGTATGTGGTGTAATAGTGATGCGTGTCTACTTTGAGTCAAGTAATGAAATTCGTCTCGTGGGAGTCAAATGAGTCCTGCTTCACACATGAATTTTGTCTAACTCTTCAGTTGCCTGATATTGAAGCAGTGTGTAGAGTGGATGACCACAAACTTTTTTGTGATGTAATCTGAACACTCATTGGTCAAAGCTCTCGCTGGTTTCCCTCTTGCTGAAACCAGGTAGACTAACAATTAGCATTTCAGTAAAATAATTGTAATTTTTTTCTTCAAAAGAACCTTTCCTCGTCTGCAGTGATGTCAAGGAAGCTAGACTTGCCTAGCTTTTAGTAAAACAAATATCTATATATAATTTGCACAGTCGTGACGCAGTACTAGAGACCTGGCTGAGGCTTGGTTTGTTGGTTACGAGTAGTAACAACACTACAAAGCTGCTGTATCTGATGGAGGGTTCTAATATTAACCTGTTAATAAAATACCCTGGTCATTCAGTGTATACAAACCTGTTAAGATTAACAAGGAGTTGCATCCCATAGCTGAAAGGATGGATACAATGGTTGTGGGTTTGGACCCTGATTACCCTGATTATGACCCTTGGCTTATGTCAAGGACTGTGACAGCACTCACTTGAATAATGATAACATACAGACAGACTTTCCAAATATTGAATACCCACTCACCCAAGGATAGTGTCAATACTGTCTAGTTCACTTCGGAGTGGATGAGTGCCTCTTTTTTATATTTAAAATATCACTGTTTTGTTTGTTTTGGACATCACCAAAGTGTTCAATGTTTGAAACTCACATCACGATTGGCTTGACTGTTGTATTTAAGTGAAGTGGCATGATTAACCACTTTTAATTCACAATTAACTCCATGTCACTAACAGTTCAGTTCTGTGGACAGACGGGCAAAAAATACATATAATACGGTAGTTACACAAATAACCTCCTGAATGTAGTAAGTCTAAGTTTGACCCCTGATAGATTAAATGATTATGAGTATATAGTGTACATCCTCAAACATCTCAAAGCTCTGTTCTGACTGTAGTATGATCAACTGTGAATGATAATGCTAATTTTACTGTTTGTTCTCTCACAGGTGAAGGACGGCTCCTTGATGAATGACGTCGGCAGCTCAATGAGTGGATTTGCCTCCAAGGTATGTATTTTATTAAGGGCCGGGTCAGCTACAGCTAGTGATTTCTCCTAGGGCACAGACACAAAAGGAATGAGTAAGGCCTGGGTCTCTAGTAAAGCCAGCCTCTGATATATGAGCCATGTCTAAAAGTAAACAAGTTAAGAAATAACCGGGCACTAATTAGTAGAGGAAGTATGGTATTTATGAAGGCCTTTGTTGGAGCATCAAATGAGGTTTTCTGTTCTGTACAAATGAGATTATGACACATGTTTGTTTTGTTTATATATAGGCTGAGTATTACTTCATACACAGTTCTTGTACATTAAGGGCACTTATCCATTTGGCTAAGACCTTAAAAACAATACATTCTCAGGCAATGATCTTTTTTCCTGAGTACTAAGATATGTTTCAATGGGGACATTTTTCCGACTAATAATATAGTGTTATGATGCATCAGTTAGTTGCAATATATTTTGTGTGATACAATACATATCAATATGAAGTTGTTGGAACTTATTTCTCCTCGAAAGGTTATTAAATGCCTGTTTTTTTAAAACAATATAACTTTGGTTTTGTGATCAAGTTTGTTATTTAACGCTGCACTCAGCAATATTCCGGCTTTATAACGGCGGTCTGTAAATAATCGAGTCTGGACCAGACAATCCAGTGATTGAAGTAATGAGCATCCACGCAATTGGGATACTATGACATGCATCAACCAAGTCAGCAAGCCTGACCACCTGATCCCGTTAGTTTGACTACGAAGTGCAAAATGTTACAAATATTGAGACCCTAAACCAGTCATTATGAACTTGTACTTGATTATGTATATGAGCGTGTATTATTGTGTAGAAAGGTGATATACTAGAGAAATAAACTCACACCTTCATTGTGTGCACCTTGATCGTAGGTTCACTAAAGTAGCATTACATCCATCACATCAGGGTTTCCACCCATGAAGATCCGGGTAGTGAACAGGTCTTCAGCAACCCATGCTTGCCGTAAAAGGCAACTACCGTATTCGACGTAATAAGCGCCCAGGGCAGTCTCAAAATAAGAAATAGGGGGCTCTTATTAGAATGTTATTTTGTTGAAAATAACAGAGTTGCAAGATAAATTTCGTGGTTTATGCTGACAGCCTGAAATGCTCATGTACCACAAATATATTTTTCCAGAATTAAATGCCCATAATTAAGGGTGCATATAACACACGAGTGTGTATTTTACGCGAATAAATAAGTCTTGTGTACATTGATCAATCGGAAGAGGTGCTAATTGGGATTGTTCACTAGCCAATATCTTAGCAAATGTCGACGTGGGCGCTAATTAGAGCGGGGCGCTTATTACGTCGAATACGGTATGCTTGTTGTAAGAGGTGACTAACAGGATTGGCTGCTCAGATTCGCTGACTTGGTTGATGCATGTCATCGTATCCCAATTTTGTAGATCGATGCTCATGATATCAATCACTGGATTGCCTAGTCCAGACTCTATTATTCACAGTCTACCGTCATATTGCTGGCATATTCCTGAATGCAGCATAAAACAACAAACAAAACTTGAGGCTTTTCTCATCAAGCTGACATGCCATGAATTTGGGCCTACCTGAAATTCTGTTCAAAGATGTGTTAAACCAAACTCACACATTCATTATTAACATTTATGCATATAGGATGAAAGAATCTGTCACTTCTTGCCTCAAAAATATTGATCGTGATGAGTTTTATTGAAATCCATAGACACTGGCAAGAGTTATCTCCCTTTAGCTGTCCAAGTTTTGTGGGTGTCAGCTGTGTGACCTACTGATGACTGAGTGCTTTGCGTGATGTTATGTCACACACCTACGTCGTAGAAGACTCAATAGAACAATTTGTTTGTATTGTTGACAAGTAATGCATATTGTGAATTTCACTCATGGCTTCACGACATCCATGTTTCCTAATGGTCGGAATTATTGATTATGTATGATTATTGCAATAAAGATGTAATGTGTAGCATGAATTTGTAGAAGCCATAAGGATATTCGTTACCATTATTTAGTGCTACAAAACTTAAATATGTTCAGGAAAACTGGGTGAATTATTTTGTCCATATTTCTGCCTCTTCTTTTTTTAGATTGAGAGGTATTTTATTGACATTTTAAACATTGTCTGCAGTAATGTAAAACTAAGTATCAAGCCATTGTCCTCTTTGTTCATCCTGTTAGTGTTATGAAATACTAGTCATGTTAAGTTTCTGGGACATTTCTACGCCCCATCATCACAGGAGATAAGGGATTGTAAATTCTTGGCGAAAATTGTTCTATATGTAATAAAGCTTATGCTAAATGATTTAATTTGCTTGATTTTGACCTCATTATGCAGATAATTTAACAATGGCAAAGATTTAATACAGCCTTGTGTATAAAATCTTTTTTGGGGACAGTTTTTTAACTTCAACATTGTATGTAGTAATCTCATAATGACTAGCTTTGCTTAGGATAACAAAATACCAAAACAACAGCTCCTTGATGGAAGTAATTTGTTGAGATTATTTAATATAACTCAAATCCAGAATATTGGTAACTACACAGCTACAACCAATACATCAAACCAGTCACTTCAGTGATCCGATATTGCATGCAATACCTCCATAGGATTTCTGGAGCTTGCTTTTTCAGCTTCCACTTATTAACTGTCAGCACTAACATGGACCCAAAACAGCTCAAATTCATTACTTTTCTCCACACAAGCCCATCAGTTATGCATAACTATATGTGACGTCAACAGTGTGAGCATGTCATGGCTACCGACAGAGGTTTTTTACTTACATCAAGAAAAAAAACTGATTATCAGCTTGTGACCAACAATGTTTATTTCCTGTGTTAATGCATGTTTTCAAATGTTAAGGGCAGTCCTCAAAGAAAGCTACTCATTGTTGAAAGGGATGGCTTCAATATATTTCTTCTCATATTTGAATGGTACAAGTCATGTGTCACCAGGCTGACTTTTCCAAATCAGGATCTGGACATGTGACTTTAACAAGTAGATAAGCGCCTTTATAGTCTGCAACGTCTGACAGAAAGTCAAATGAGCTTATTTTGATGCACAACATGATCAGTCATATGACATTACACGCAGGAAGTTTACAAACAGCAGCCGATTGTTCTGATGCAAAATTATTATCAGATTAAGTATTTTAATGTGCATTACTGAAAAAGTAAGTTTTGAGGTATGTTTTCATTACTTTTTGAATATATTACCTCGTGTAGCTTCATTCATAACATAACTTCAGCAACAAGTCGCGATTACTTTGTTGTATTCAGTGAAGTGTCTACCTTGATTAAGTTATCGAGCAGCTTAGTGGCTTGAAAAGTGATGAGGCTAAAAAACAAGTTCATGACAATATTGACAGTAAAATATCAACTAATAATGATGCCAAAAGAAAAATTCAGGATTTTTGACTAGGCCACCAATTGGAACTAAGTACCTTCCATTTTGTTTTTTTTAGGTCTACTAGCTCAATTTGTCTGCATGACTGATGATCAGACACTCAACCCCCATAGGAGTTCATATCAGTCTGAATGTAAATTGTGTTTAAGTTTTGAGACAGTTTGATGTAAATCATTCAATACTCACTTTGTCTGTGAGGTCATGATAATTTAATTACATGTGTATGTTATACATTTTTAGCCCACCCACCTCACTACAAACACCCTTCCCCACATCATTTAATTGCTCCAAGTACATGTACCTGCAAAATAAATTGCAGCCTGTGTTTCCTTTTATCATTACTTGATGATCAAAATTACGAATAGGGGGCTCTTATTAGAATATTATTTTGGTGAAAAAAACAGAGTTGAAAGATAAATTTCGTGGTTTATGCTGACAGCCTGAAATGCTCATGTACCACAAATATATTTTTCTAGAATTAAATTCCCCACAATTAAGGGTGCATATAACACACGAGTGTGTATTATACATGAATAAAAAAGTCTTGTATACATTGATCAAATGGTAGGGGTGCTAATTCAGGGATTGTTATAAGCAAATATCGCCGTGGGCGCTTATTAGAGTGGGGCGCTTATTTTGTTGAATACGGTATAAGCTCCATGTGAATCACAGCTGTTATTGTAGACAGATGATTACAAAACAAAAAAATAGGAATAACAAAATCCCTCTTTGACCTCACATTAAGAAAAGAATTGGATGTGATCAAAACTATAATTGTAGGATGTTCATTCTTGGAGTTAATGGCTGCTCTAATTTCACAGAGATTCTAAGGGCACTAATGACAACATCGAGACCTGCACTCAGCCCCTTTAAATTGCCGAATGTTATAGATTTGATCAATCAATGTCTGGTTAACAGATTAGTACCGAATGCTTTTTAAAGCTATTTTTTATAGGCATTGATCTGTTCATGTACATGTACTTGATTTCCTAATTATATTGGCCCCAGTTGTAAGGTGCTGCAATTTGTTGTGCAAAGTTGTGTCCCTTAGGGGAGCCAAGATTCTATGATCCTGTGTTCCAAAGATAAATGTCAAAGACCTGCATCAATTCAGGCCTCCTCCCACAATAGGCTTAGACACTATGATAAAACTAGATATAAGGAAGAGAATTTATGGATGTCAATTTCATTATTATGAGGAACACAACGTTTCGGAGTATATGCTTACTCCTTCTTCAGGTGAATGACTGCTATGAGCCAGAGAGCTTATATATACATTTACATGTAAGAACAACAAAAGTAATAAGATAACAAAAGGTGGAAGAAATTCTCTTCCTTATGTATATCACTTCTAAATGCCTTTCAAGGACTTGAAAACTAGACATATATTTAAATCAAGGAAGGAAATTGTTGACAAACTTGACAAGCATACTATTCTCACACACAAATTACTTTTGTAGGTAGCAATATTTCCTATACTCGTGAACAAGTTTTAAGCTACTCACTCAGACCTCTATATGTTTCAGTTTACAAGTTTTGTTAATGTTTGACATGTAATAATTGTTAAGGCACAGTGTATTTATGTCAATA